CCCTAACCCTAACCCCTAACCCTAAACCCCCAACCCCCAACCCCCAACCCCAACCCCAACCGCAACTTTAATTGTCTGCGTCCGTCCCTGATGTGTTGCAATGTGGTACAATGTAAATAATGATGTGAAAGATAATGTAATGTACATATAGCATGATTGTTTTATATTTCATCTGGCAGCGTGTGATAATGATACTTCATGCCATGGGGTTAAAATTCAAAGGAATATATATTTTAGTTTCTAATTTCAGTAGAAATGTATGTTTGATAGTATATTCAAATTACACATATATTCCATTATAATTATAGTTACATATATTTTCGATGAAATACATTTTTTATCGGTATCATCGCATATCGCAAAGTTTAAAATAAGAGAATATCGACGATTATAAATTAACCACTCCATATAGAACTCTTATTGCACGCTCTTGATTTCATAATCAAGGATTAATTGTTATTTAGGATACCACAAGTCTCTCATGAAGTAAATGATATAAATACTTTAGTTACGATAAAATTAATTTGCAGTACAATTACATTACAATATGATAAAAGATGAGCAAATCGAGTTCGGTTTTGTTTACACATATTTTAATAAAGGAGCTAAGAATAAAAATAAGAAAGCGAGTTGTCAGCCAACCGAAACCAACCCCACCATTTGTATCTAATAATAATTGAAGACTTATTAGCTGCTACCACACACAATACATATAGTAGTGCTTGTTTGGTTTCATTTGTAATTTTCTCATAACAAAGATTCATTTTAATTATATATTCATAATTACTATTCACACATTACTCCTCTTCACTATAATTTTTCCCAAACAAGCACATAATGTTTTTGAGGTAGTTCGAACCAATTTTCACATTACATGTAATCTTCTCGGCAATAATTATAAACCCAATTGGAACGTCATAACTCTAAATGAAATTGTAGACGGCTTAAAAGATTTTGCTCCATAAATGTAATACACAGATTAGGAAAGTTTAAAAGACTTGATAGGTACTACTCATGCCAATAAGGTGCACCTTTTTTTTCCGTAAGTCCATCTTTAGAAACTCTACGGTTAAGCGTGCTTGGCTTGGAGTAATTCTATGATGGGTGATCGTCCTGAGAAGTTTTTTTGGGGAGTGTGCGAGTGAGGATAAAGTATGCTGAAAAGACTCGTGTTGATACAGTGGAGACAGTACGTCGTCGATCTAACGACCGGGACAGCTCGTTAAGTGGGACCTGGGTCGTTACAATAAAATTTATTTTTCATATCAAGATTTAGATATGATTTCATTTCTATTTTTAAGAAAATTTAAAACACCTAGGTAGTATAATGCACTGGATGCTAATTTTGAACTTGAATGTCTTGCAATATTGACAGAAAGTCTTTCAGCTTCTGTGCTACTTAAATAGCAATAAATTGAAGGATTATGCTAAATGTACATAATTCTTTACACAATTCTTTACACCCCTCTCACATGGAGGGGGGTCCACACACAATAAAATATTCGTGGGCCCTCCTCCATGTGAGAGTGGTGTAAAAGATTGTGTAACTCATGGAGTGTACATGTAGTACAATTCTAAATTGAAAGCATTGCAGATGCTCTAAAGTTCTACATACAACATAGCATACTACATGTGAATTGCTCGTTAACAAAAAAATATATCGAATAACAAATCGATATATGTATGCTACGTAGGATGACTACCAATAATTTTTACTGTGAATAACATTATTCTTCTCATTGTCTTGTATTTATTACTAGATAAGTCTAATTAAATGAATCATATATTCTTTCAATTAATTTTAGAACTTGTGAATAACGATATTTAACACGTCTAGATTGCAGTAAACTTCATTTGAACTTGTCCAAAATAAATTAAGATGCATTTTAATTTATTTAACAAGTTTAGTTGAACCTCCACACTCACCTGAATTGATGCTAGATAGCATTATTCTAATCCTATAATGCCGTCTATATATCCTATGGTGCTAAATATCATTATTCAACCAAAAACAAAAGCTTCAATGTCAAATTAAAAATTGATCCAATTTTTAAAACATTGCTTAAAGATTATTCAAACTTCAACAATACATTGATTTGCATGAAACTATTTTGCTTACATGGAAGACTTTTGCTGCCTTTATCATAAAAATAAAACATGCTTACACCAATACTACGGAAACTGCAAAGGCAATAACATTCAAATCCCCAAAATTTTAGACAAACCAACAGGATTGAAAGCAGATTGTATTGAATTACTAACATAGAAGTTTAGAATGTAATGATAATTACGAGTAGATTGACGATCAATAAGAACCCTAATTTTAGAATCTTATACTGACTTTTCGTAATGTTCTAATTGGGTACCCGCAGCAAACAAAACCAGCAAATTATCACACATCAATGGCACAAAATAATCTCTCCGGTAGAAGGCAAGAGTTAAAAGGGCAATTCAAGTCCTGTTCAGATGCTCGTTCCAGATTCATGACAATTCATGAGATTGAACAAAATTGAAGTAGCGAAAATGGTCTAGACGAAAAGATAAATACTGAACTAAAGAGTTGGGCTTAGATGCAGATAGTAGCATAAGAACAAAGGGGAAACTTAAACCACATATAGTTCGAAAGAGTGACAGCTGCAATTTATAGAAGTCTAGTAGAACTCTGAAAAACCATGTTAATGAAAAGAACAATGCTAAAACTGTCCAATGTGACGTTGCCACATGGCATGATGCAAAGAATGATGTAAAAAAGCTTGTACATGTAGCATGATTGTAATGAAAATTAGCATCCACTCAGATCCAACAAATTTAGATACAAATCCAAATCACAGCAGTTGCATTATTGCCAATAGAATTTGATGCATGCTCCGACATCATTGTCCATGCCCAAATTTTGAAGCCAGACAAAAACAAAAAATGAGAAAATGTTCTTCAGCTGGAATGAACTTTATAGAACAGTCGGTGGCTGATGACCAATATCATTCAGGAGTATCCGAGCGGATGGCTGAGACAAAAGCCAATAAAAAAGTTGAATCAGACAGTGGTAATTTCAGAAAATAAATTTAATGTCACGCCAACAACAAAATCAAAGTGCAGCACAAGTGTGCCGATACATAAACCAGAGATCGTCACTGACCATGATCAAATGATTTATTCTCATGAGAAAAGTATAAACCAGGCAAAGCCCATATCAATCATTTATCTGCTATTTCATTCATTCTTACCAAAAAACATGTAAAAACTAAAAATTAGAATTTCAATATTGAACTTTACAGGGAATCAATTTCAAATTTACACGTTGTTTGAGCCGCCATTATTTGGAAAAAAAAAATACATTTTTGAATAGAAGATTGATGAAGAATATGTGATTAAAAAATAAGGAAAAATTTTAAATTTGCATGTAATATTATTTCTTCGAAGAATATGTGGTTGAAAAGAAGAAAAAGAAAATGTATTTTGAAAATAATGGAGATCAAACAAGGGCTTATATGAAATTTTTCCAATTACAGGAAGACCTAAAATAACACTAAGTCAAAACTCCCATCAAATCAAACATTTCCACCTTTACTTCTCTATCAAGACTTGAAAATCCATCTTAAACGGTCAACCTTGTTGAGAAGGGTAGCCCAAATTCTAATACGTTGGCTGTTAACATTTCAATATTTAACCAACGTCAAATTTATCCCTTGACATGCCCCATAAGATGGTGGTTCATTTGAACGCACCAATCTTGAAATTCAAATGCTTTTTTGAATCTTAATCAGATCAAATTCCATGGACAACCTTGTTAAAAGGAGTAGCCAAAAGATTATGTTGTTTAATACTGCGGCATTTAACCAATGTAGGATTTAGCTTAACAGTTCAAAACCCATCCCAGTTGTACATATGTCAAAAATAATCAACACAAATCGCGCAA